ACAAGGTCTTCTCTTCGCACAAGGGATCCATACACGTCTTCTCTTCGAACAAAGGATTCACACACGTCTTCTCTTCGCACAAAGGATCTACATGGTGTTTTCCGTGCACTTGAGATTCAATTGTATTGTGGAAATCGATTGCAAATTTATTTGAAATTGAATCATAGCGAAAACCTTCAGGAGTTTGAAGTCAAGGAAAGCAGTTGAGATGGTTGGCGTCTTTGATTTGTTTCGTGCTGTGATTTGGGTGTTTCGGCCGTTCGTTATGTTACTGTTTGCGTACATGTGGCACATATTCGTTTAGATGGAAATCGAGATCGATGGTGCTTGTTACCAATGAGGTGTTCATTTTAATGTTAGTCCAGTCATGGTGAAGTTTCGATGATCACAACGCTGGGTAGTTAGAGCGCTGTGATCTTGTCAAATCCGTTCGTTTGTTGCTTGCTGTTGTGTTTGTTTAGATATTTGTATTTTTGATTTTCTGAGTAAAAAGAAGGATCTGTGTGCGTGCGAGTGTGAGTGGAGATGTGAGTAAGATCGGTATGGATGTGGATGAAGATGTACATAGTGTCGATGTGGGTATGGATGAAAATGTGCAAAAGGTTAGTATGGGTGAGGAGAAATATATGCATAACACTGGTGTTGGTGTGGGTGAATATGTGCTTGGAATCAGTGGGAGTGTGTTTCGAGAGGTTTATAAGATCGATGTGGGTGAGGATATAGATGTTTATAAGAGTCGTGTGGATATGGATAAGATCTGTATGAGTGTGGGTGAGGATGTGCAAAAGATCGGTATGGATGTGGAGAGAGATGTGCGTATGATCTTTATGGGTTTATGTGATAATGTGCATAACATCGCTGTGTGTGAGTGTGAAGATGTGCGTCAGATCGGTATGAGTGAGGATGATGATGTGCGTATGTTGAATGCGGATGTAAGAGTGAAGATATGGCTAAATGTAGTATGTGTGAGAGTGTAGAAGTGGCTAGCATTAGCGAGGGTTAGCGTAAAGATGTGACTAGAATTTGCGTAGTTGCCTTTGAGTGTATGAATAGCATCAGTGTTGGTTTATGTGCGAGTATAGCGAGAATTCTGGTTGGTGTAAAGGCTAAGATGTGGCTAGAATCGATGTGGATGAGATTGAGTTAATAGTAGAATATATCAGAACGAAAGAGAAAGCGGATTGATATGAATCATAAAAGTATCATCTAATGAATACTGTAGTATAAGTGATAGTTTGAGGACTTTGAGAGTATCTGGACGTATATGTTTGCAATTTTTTTTCAAAAGATATAACCCGTGGAAACCTCTAGAAAGTCGTATGAAAAGAGTTCTTCCTGCGAAAGATAATTGGCTTACTATATAGTCAACGATATAGTGCTTTAAAATGGATTATTTTCGATTACTTTTTTGTTAGAACCAATCATTTAACTTGTTTTATATAAATAGATACAAAACGTTGTTCTAACGCAGTTTTGTGTGTGTTTCTTAGTGTAATCTTGCAAATAAAGCTCAGACGCAGATGTTTGAGTAGGATGGAGAGTTTTTGACACCCAATTTCTTTAAGAGATGCGCTGATAGTATATAGTGTTCTCATTCCACGTTTCAGATATTGCAGAAAAAACACTTTGTAGCATTCTACTCGTATCGAAATGATAGAGAAAACCTTTTTTTTTAACTTGATGATAAATCTTATTGCGTAACAATTTTGCATTTAGCACAATAAAATTAAAATTAAAAAGGATGTTAATGAAAGGTTTTCAAAACGAGGATAGAGGAGAGCTAAGAACAGACTTTTTTCATATAAATTTGCAGTATGTCAAAATAAACTGTTTGTTTAATTAGGGGAGCATTTCATGCGCTATAAAGTGACTTGTGTATGTGGCAAGAGAGTGGCGCAAAATCGTAAATATAAAGAATAGCGTTTAGAAAGTAGATCATTTTAGAGCATTATATCGTTGACTCTCTAGTAATCCCATTGTCATTCGTGAGAAGAACTCTTTTCTTACGACTTGAGGATGTGAATGTAAATATTATTGTATTCATCCATACCCACATCCTCAAATTAATTAGAATTGGCAAAGCAAACACGATAAAAACATTCCATATTCGAATATCAAAATCGAAGGATAAGTTATAGGAAAACTTGATCCAAATTCTTCAATTACAATAGAACAATTCATATGATCTTGAACAATGATATTGTTAAGAATCAATAAAGGAATGATTCCACATATAAATAAAATCAAGTAGTGATAAATCGAATCAATCTTCTTGCTACAAACCATTTGCCAGTAACGACAAATATTTAAAGATGTGAAGTAGAGTGATTCAAGAATATTAAAATAGAACATAAAATAAACTTCAAAATAACATAAAACACGTCATATTTTTTTGTTTTCACTGCACTATGGATACTAAATTGAACTAAAATCAAATTGAATTTGTTGATAAAAAATCGCAATCATAATGAACAATAAAGAAATAGACAGAAGAAAATAATTTTGTAATAAAACTGTAGAACTCGATCTAATTGTATGATTACTGAATGATTCAAATAGTATTTGTATTTTAGAAAACATCTTTTTTTTCCTACTAATAATTATGTGTTTTATTTGAACACATCAGCATCGTTAATTATTACTATGTACGTAAAATAGTTCATGTTTTCACACAATTAATGAAAACTCAACATGAAACTGATGATATTATAAAGAATTTGACTAAAAAATATTGTTACTTCTGAGAATAAAACAAAATGATTAATTCTAAAATTGAAATAGAACATTGAATTTCAACTAAATATATTTTTTTTAGATAAATTTCGAATTTGTTTTTTCTCTTCAATTTTGATTTTTAAATAAAATAAAACAAATTTGACTTTTTGTTTCTTTTTTTTGTTTTCACAGATTATTTCATTATGTTTTTACCATTTAAATTAAAGAATAGTTTGTTCGATTTTGACAGATTTCATGTTCAGTGGACTTGAAAAAGAAAGTATGGAATTCTGCACATTTCTGTTTATTTGTTTTTTTTGAACCAAATATAAAGAAAATCTTTCATCGTCCAAACTATTTTAGGAGGTCTATCACTTACGAACATTTGAAATATTCATCATGATTTCTAGAATTAATTCATTTATAAACTCAATTAATTATATATTTCCCTCTAAGATTATATAAACACCGTTGCCTTCTCTTTTAAAAGTGAGTGTTAATAGTAGATTTTTGGAATCATAATGTATTGAAATGAAGACGATGCAATTGTTATTGATGAAAATAAAAAAAGTCAAAGAATGAAAATAACTGATCTTTTGAAATAAAATTTTTTTTTTTTTATTCCTCGCAGAATTTTTTCATACATAAATTTTGTTTTTATAAAAATAATTGATGAAAATTTTAAGTTGTAAAATTATTCATAAGTAAGAATAGAAATGAAAATAAGTCAACGTGAGAAATCACTTCATTATTAACAACTGCACTCACTCTGTTTTCAGCACCTAAACAAAATTTTGATGATTAGAAGAAAAATAAAGTTGAATGAAATGTTAAAATACAACGAAAATATAAGAAGAACAAAAAAAACGTAAACACATGACATTGTTTCATTTCTAGTTTGTATGAGAAGTATACAGTAAAAAATTATTTGTTTTCTAAAATAATCGGAGTCTATATATTATATTATAGTGTGACAGTTATATATAATTCAATGCAAAATAGAAGAGAATAAGCTTGGCATTTTCAAGGCTATTGATAAGAGGTTTCTTTTTATTATTTCTTTCACACAATCAGAATTTTCTATTTCGAATAGAAAAAGAAATTTTCATGCATTGCAAAACTATTAATGTTTTAGACTATATTTTATTTTACAATGAAATTAAGTTCACATTTTATTGAACGAAAAGCAGTGGATATTTCTGGTCGATTAGGAACACTTTATGATGTATCGCAAGATAAATTGATTGATCAATATTCCGTAAAATCATCTGAAATACAATCGGCTACTCAACATTCTATATGTAGAATATTTTCTGGTGCACAATTTAATAATATAATCGATGTTTTAAAAGAGATAAATTTTGATGATGGACTTTTACAAAGTATTCTTCTTAGTATTATTCAACCATCAGGAATTAGTTCTGCTATTGATTATACACAATCTATTAACAAGAATACTCGTTTTTTGTACTCTGCATATGTAAGTAAAGAAGAAATAAGTGAAGATATAGATGAAATTGTTACATCTTCTTCATGTGCAACTCATATAATTATGAAAACTATTTGGGGTTTTGAAATTTTATGTATTTTATCGATTCCGAATGATGAATCTACCCATGCATTGGATAGTTTACTACGAAATATTGCTTATCGACTTGAACATAATCAGAAAGATTTCGTGCTGACTGATCGTGAAGAAGATGAAATTAGTAGTTTGACTAACATCACTATATTTGAGTCAGAAACATGCATAGACAATCATAATACAACACTATTAACCGTTTTTAATAGAATAAAAAGTTGGCAAACAAATGAAAATTTTCATCAACCACTACAATACACAATGTGTTGTCTAGAATCACTTTATAATAATGATCATCAGCCAGAATTATGTGATTCATCTAATCTAATCAATGATCAAACTTTAAATATTGAATCTATGATTATGGACATTGATATTTGGATAAAACATCTAGTAGAAATATTTAAAAAAATTCCTAAAAATTTCTCAAGTCGTACACTTAATAAACGATCAAATGATTTTCAAGAACAATTTTGTAATCTATTGACTATATACGGAGAATTTCGAAGTGACCTACGAAAATTACTTGTTGGTATTCGTCGAAACTATTATGAATCGATAGAAATTGATAATGTTATCTCCGATGAATACTATTCATTACTGCAAATAAATAAAATAAAGAAATTTTTTTATAAAGTAAATCAATGGCTGACAAAAGCATTATTATTTGAACAATTAAATAATAATCAAATTAGATATAT